AACATCCCCCAGCATCATCACCAACATCCCCTAGCATCATCACCAACATCCCCTAGCATCATCCCCAACATTCCCTAGCATCATCGCCAGCATCCTCACCAACATCCCCCAGCATCCCCCAGCATCCTCACAAACATCCCCCAGCACCATCACCAACATCTCCCAACATCATCACCAACATCCCCCAGCATCCTCACTGGATCGCTCCAGAGGCAGGAAACGCAAACGTCTTAACGCTCCCGTTGAAACGATATAACCGTTAAATGGTTTATTTAATCTGCAAGAACAAAACATTACAAATGCATTAAATGCCACATTCACCATAACGAACATAAATCCAACATGGCTACCATCCTGCCACAAGCGTGAACACGCCCCTCTTTTGACGAATACTGGAAACGGTACGTTTACTCAATAAAGATATATAAAAATAACCATAATTTTAAACCCGTATGCCAACATAGTTTAACTGCATACTCTATAAAATTGATAAGTCTACACATTTATATAAATGCATGCATTATATACCCGTCCTTCCTAAATAAACGATAACATTCAGACCAATTTCAGTTCACTGTTCACATCGATATTTTGAGCTCAATGTAATTCACGTTTCGCTTCATTTCGCGAGTACCGTTTATGGACGCAAATGCTAGACATATTATTTTAAACTGTTCCATTCACTCTGTGACTGTACTATAAACTTACTTCTTGGCGGGAACATAAAAGACGTGCTCGCGTTCATAATGCCTGGCAAAATCACCATAACCACGAGACTCAACTCATCCTTTCGCTGCCAGATGAAAACTACAGCTGTACCACAAATATGGCAAAGTAATCTGCCACGAATGCCGCAAGTGCTTGTGGGAAACTCACGTGATTAACACTACGGTGTCTTCAACGTAACAATTAAACTTAACTACTCAGCGAAACACTCACAAACATCCCCCAGCATCCTCACAAACATCCCCCAGCATCCTCACAAACATCCCCTAGCATCATCACCAACATCCCCCAGCATCATCACAAACATCCCCCAGCATCATCACCAACATCCCCTAGCATCATCACCAACATCCCCCAGCATCCTCACAAACATCCCCCAGCATCATCACCAACATCCCCTAGCATCATCACCAACATCCCCCAGCATCCTCACAAACATCCCCCAGCATCATCACCAACATCCCCTAGCATCATCACCAACATCCCCCAGCATCCTCACAAACATCCCCTAGCAGCATCACCAACATCCCCCAGCAGCATC